CGCTTCGGGCGGGAGGGGGTAAACTGAATACAGACAAGGATTAAGAAACGAAAACAGTACAACAAATCGTCTTCTTCCTCTAATAATTTAATGAAACGTCACTGCTTCCGCGCTTCGCGCGGGAGGGGAAAAACTAAATTCAGACGAAGATTAAGAGTAGAGAACGGTGCAACGAATCGTCTCTTTTCTCTCTAATACTTTAATGAAACGTAAAAGCTGCTTCGCGCGGGAGGGGAGAAACTGATTTTAGACAAGGATTGAGAGCAATAATTTAATGAAACGTCAAAGCTTTTGCGCATCGCACGGAAGGGTGAAACTGAATTCAGACAAGGATTAAGAGTAGAGAACGGTACAAGAAATCATCTTCTTTCTCTTATAATTAAATGAACGTCATAGCTTCTGCGCTTTGCGCGGAATTTAACGTCATATTACTCCAGGAAGTGCCTGAAATGCGCCTAATGTGGTTTTCCCAGACCCACCCCTGCTTGGTCGCTCCGCCGTTTTACATATATTTCACCCCATGCGATTTTGTGCCCCCCCCCCCCCCCCCCGTTAGAAATTCCTGGATCCGCCAACTGAGTTTGTACTATGAATTTGAAATAAATTTTATTTCAACAACATGAAATGATAGAGGTCGTGTGAATTTCAAGGAGAAATTACCATTTCTATCGTTCGTGACGGCCATCTTGATTTTCATTTTTTTTTTAACTCTAGAACGTGAGGGGGTTCCACCCATGGACCCCCCCCCAAAAAAAAAAAAAAAAATAAAAAAAAATGGGAAGCTCTGCCCTGGCAACCCATCAGGGCTCCTAATGCGGGCCCCTAGACCACATCCGTTAAGATAGATTTAGTAATTCCCAAGACAACCCTTTGTTCCATAAAATTATCCTTGAGAGAGAGTGTACGTGAAAGAGATTTGATGTCCAACAAATTATTCCCTAGGGGGTATGGGCGGGATTTAGGGGGGATCGTCGCCCCACCGGAAAATTTGAAAAGTGCCCTAAAAATGTATAGCAAATACTGACTAAAGACTTTAACACACTTTTAGGCTCTGGAGGGCCTAAGAGTGCAGCGTTTAGACTAATACAAATGCGAAAAAACTTTTTGCTCGGTTGCTACGCTCCCTCGCATAATATCTTCCTAAATGTACAAGTAAATATTGTAGGAAATCTGTTTTCCGTTGGTATCACTGTGATCTAACGGAATACAGATTTTCTCAGCCAGGAATTAACAACATAAAGGCTACATCGACTAAGCAATACAAATAATTATTTTTAAAAAATCTGACTGGGCATGCCGTTCACCTACAGTTCAAGGGGCAGGGCCCGGTAAGTTCTTTATTTACAGCCAGTGATTAACAACACTATCATCGACTAAGCTATACAAATAATTAAAAAATATATAAATCTGAGTGGGCGTGCCTTTCACTAGGGCCCGGTAGGTTAATCATTCACAGGTCACCATCTCCTAGCCTAAAAATAGCCAGGAATTAACAACACTAACATCGACTAAGCAATACAAATTTAAAACAAATTAGAAATCTGACTGGGCGTGCCGTTCACCTACAATTTAAGGGGCAGGGCCCGGTAGGTTCATCATTCACTGATCACCATCTTCCAGCCAGGAATTAACAACACTAACATCGACTAAGCAATACAAATAAAAACAAATTTAAATTACAATTCAATACAAATTTTTAAAAAAATAGAAATCTGACTGGGCGTTCCGTTCACCTACAATTTAAGGGACAGGGCCCGGTAGGTTCATCATTCACAGGTGACCGTCTCCCAGCCAGGGATTGACGACACTAACATCGAATATATATGCTCTTCCTGATCGTTACTTTTAAAAACGTTCCACTGCCACGGGGCCTGCATTTAATATGTAAGAGTGGTGGTACAGATTTTTCTGCCCCCAAACTCTTTTGCTCATTACGCCACTGCCTCTGAAAGGCGAGCCCAATGTAATGTTTGCCCCCCCCCCCCCCACCTCCCAATCCCAAAGTGCTTCCAGCGCGCCTGGGTAGGCTAATCTACTCATCTGCTATAAAAGAAGCATATTTGAACCTATTATACCTTAAACCCCATGACCTTTGAACTTCACAGAATGGCAAGGTAACCCATGAAGGTGTGTTCGACGGCAACAGCATTAACATTGCCAAATCTCATTCACATTAAAACATTAAGAGACACAATAACCGTTAATGCTATGAAAAGATGTTTTTATAATTCATCATCATCCCCAAAACAATGGATTCCTCAGAGCCTCAGAGCCCCCAATTTAAAGCGGCTGAAAGCAATTTTTTCTCAAATTTCATCTAAAACTCGCTCTCTACGCTCGCTCGAATTTAAAGTTTATTTTTATTAAGGAACGTATTAAAGCGCTTCCATTCTTTCATTATGCAATGTTCATACTTATGAACGACATTCACCCGTTCTACTTTTTCAACCTTGCACAATACACAATAGCTGGTTGTCTATCAATAGATGCTCTGACTTTGGCTTAGTTATGAACAGGGAATTCACCCATCTTCTCTTCTCGTCGTCACATGGTTAGCGAATTGTATTACCATGGCTACATGCTCCGATGGTTAACAACCATAGAATAGTTCTTCCAAACTATGGACGAGACTGGTGACGATGCACATTATGAGAAGAGTGTCGTTAATTGATATATACGAGTTCAGTCTCACAGCTTAGAAACGATTAACATGTTTAAACGCCAAGTATGTGAAAGTCTTTGAAATCATGATAATAGATTTAATTGTATGAATAGGGACAATGGAGCGATCAAGATACTGCTGGACCCCCGAATTCGCGCGTTTTCTTCAGTTCCCTTTTCACTTCGTATTTGGTAAGTACATATATTATTATCTTCTCTACTTTTTCTAGTAGCATAATATTATGCACGTGTGTATGCTATCACAGTACTGGTGTTATGTAGGAGAGATATATTATTAATCGAGAACTTATTTTATCATAAAATACTGTCAGGTTGTTGCTAGATTGCTGGTATAAAGACGAACTTTTATTTTAACATTATGCATGTATGTTTGTATTTGATCAAAATATGATCTTGTAATGATGTTCTCTATTGTGATATATTATGTTAACAAAACTGCTTATCGCCATATTGCCAATATGCTTGTGTATGAACTTTGATTTATATTATTTCAACCAAGACTCTTAAGAATGTCGTTACGAGATAATGAGACATATCCTCATTCAGTTGTTTTATCGTAATGAATAGAAATAATGATCAAGTTGTTTATCTGTCTCTCAATGAATGATTATGCGTGATTGGAGATGTCCGTGTGCATGCAACGATACGTAATGATTTGTCACGTAATCTTCGGAATGTGAATGTGTAACTCCTTATTGATTATTTTTAAAGCTCTGATAGAAGCAAGACGACTAAAAGCTTTATCATGCTCTTGTTTCTATCATTGTGATAATTACGATTGATTCAGCGGACAATGTAAACATTTAATTTTATACGAGGTCCTTTTGTAATTGAATGCATATCTCTTTCATGGAAGTAACTTGGAAACAGAGAACTAGATACATTATTTGGTCGCATTATTTATTCAAACAAATCACCGACATATTATGTTAATTTAATTCGTGTAAATATATGTATATGAATTCAATTATTATTATCCATAAGAAAAAAGGATCTCCATGCAAAAAATAGTGAATATATGTAATTATTATAACTTGACTGATAAATAGGATGAAGATTTTCGTTTTCTTTACAGTAAACATATTACATATTGACCACCAGGCGCGGGATTTTTTCAAGGGGGGGGGGGATTTAACATTTTTAATCGGGCCGAAAATTTCGCAACGACTCAGCCAGCCGCTGAATAAGCGGGGGGGGGGGGGTAAGAGGATACTTTTTTAGGTCAGCAATTGGTATAATTTTTTTTTTTTAATTAAATAAAAAAAAAAATGCAAAGGGTTTTCCTCCAAAATACACACATAACAAATACCAAAGGGGGGGTGGGGTTCAACCCACCCCCCCCCCCCCCCTGCGTACGCGCCTGTTGACCACACCTAGACTATTCTTCTTCACAACTAAAACGTAATAGTAACGTAAACCGGTCATGTGCAGTTAAATCGTCAAATACGTGGATATCGGTCCAAAGTGGAATAGAAGTTGTAAAATAATGCTATGATTGTAATGGTCTATCATATTATATTACAGACTTGCTTTTGTACTTTTTATAATTTCGATGTATACAAATACTCATAATGGATAACCTGATTCTTAGATAGTGAACTTTTACTTCCCAATTGCTCAATAAACACTACTTGAACCAATTTTCATGGATATTTTAGTTCTACAAAGATGAGGGGCATGATATCAATAATATTGTAAAAAACAATATTGTAACTTTTATTTTTTTAGCCAATCATGGTGTATTTATGGGCAAATCAAGTTTTCATTTTCTTAAGTTGTTTTGAAAGTTATGAAAGAATATAGTTATTTATTTGTATATTCAAATTTGTTTTCCCTTTGAATATAACCACGATAATGTTCCTTTTCTTTTCTTTTTTTATGAAAGTTCTCTTAATTTGTTTCAAGTTTCAAGGTTAATTAAGGAAAAAAACAACTGTAATGATTCGTTAAGGATATATATATACAATTAAATTCTAAACAACATGTATATATGGTTTCTAAAGCAAACCGTTTAGGAGATACCGTAGTAGGTTAAAATTTAGAAGGAAAGGAATTCTATTTATCGACCCCATCAGCTTTTCCATCATTGTGCTATAATACATTGACTATCCGATACCGAAGTTTTTTTGAAAACCTGGTTAGTGAACTAACAGGAATATTGTCAAATAAATGGTTCTGCCGTAATACGTAGAAGCATTCTCAAAGAATATTAAAACCTATCTGTTCAATTAGGACTACAATCAACTGTAATCTTCCCTTTGTTATGCCCTATCCTTAATCATGTTGTACCTTTGAGTTAGCGCGTTTATGTGGTTTCATCATTTGCACTATAGAGCGTCTATAATGTAAGTGATAGGCCTATGAATGAATTTTTTATTTGATCATTTATTACTCTCTCTTTCATTTGTTTCAGCCATCGCCATATCAGACTTTTTTCGTACACATTACTTCGGTATGTATCTTCAATTTGTATAGTATTTCTTTTTAGACAATGTTTACGTACGATTCAGAATGGGAATACTTTTTAGAACCCTTGAATGTTGGATATAAACATGCTACCTAAGGCCCTCTGACAACTGTTTTGTTGTATTCCAGTATTCCTTTTAAATTCTGAGTGAGGCTATGAATTTGAAAATCTGTGAAATCAGTTGAAAATAACAAAAATTATAGTTCGTGAGTAACATTGTATTCTCCCACAGTCGAAGCAAGGAGTAATATCTTTAAAGAATCGGTTAACTATTATTTTGTCATGTATGTATATAAACACTGTAAAATCAGGCTCACAATCAGCCCGGCAAAATAGACCACTTTTCAGGGAGCCCATGTGCATTATTGAACAAACAACTAATGACATATAATTGACAAAACAAATGAAAATTATCGAGAAAACTATGAGACTTACCATTTGAACCCAGCCCCCCCCCCCCCCCCCCCAGTGAACAAAAAATAGATAGAGCTGATTAAGTTAACAAAGACGTGAACAAGGTTGTCTATTCATCGGTTAATATCACAATGTAATGGATTGAAATGTCTAAAACTACTCTTATACTTAAAAAGGTCACATTATTTTTTATTCAAGATAAATGTTTACAGTCATAATTGCGAAGAGAATATTTACTTGTCTTAGTAGAAAATTTAGAACAAATTAGTAATGGGAGGCATCCATGCAACATAAAAAATAAATAAAACAGTAATATACCTACGTTCAACTCGTAATAAATTGCAAAGTGCTCGATTTTGTGGAACACACATCACATGAACTAAATTTGCTCATGCATTAACCACACAACAGAACCGTAATCAAGATGAGGTTGGAAAAGTGAAGGCTTTATATTATAAAGCCTTGCAGCGAAAATTAATTCACATTTCTTAGGATTCGACAAGAATTCATTGCGCGTCATCCGCTTAGAAATCCGTTTAAAATCTCCATAGAGACGTAAACATACTCAATAATTAAAATCAGTATTACAGTGGAATGGTACTAAACTGTATAGCATTTGAGATATCATTTATACAAAATGATAAATAGTAAATAGCAAGGGACCCATTGTACTTCTCCTGCAAGTGACTGTAATCTAACAAACTATTACCGTTGACTGAAAAAATATGATATCCTCAGACGGAGTTAGATACACATGAAAAAAGCGTAAACTTGAATCATCAAAACCAACATGAACAAATTAGTTTCTTTAGAATAATAGAATGAGAGACCACATCGAACATAATCATCAACCTTATTTGAGGTCTATACTTTATTTATGTATTAATAATGTGTTGTTAATGTTTCTTCATCCCCTTCTCCAGATCATCATGCCACGAGTGATGCCAGCCGCATTTCGATGTCTCTGTAACACGCAGAAGGGGCACCGATGCAAAAGGAAGACAAGGCACCCAACAAGAATATGCCACCAACATCGGAGAAACTTCGCCGACGATGCCGCGTAAGTTTTAGAACAGTTTTTATCTATCTTTTTTTAAAGTACAGTAGTGAAAGTTTTAATCAAAGGATTGGAAATGTTTATAAACATTTGAATAGACCAAGAGCATCATTAGGTTGGGAAAGTTATACCCCCAATTGTTCTCAAAAGCGTTTTCGAGAGACATCTTCTTATTGTTTGTCCCATCCTTTTGTTTTAATCAGAACACTGATTTTCTTATTGTTTTTACTAAACACGCATAATTATAGATTTTGCAAGCATTGAAATGCCCTTTAAACATGAAAACAATTATCCCGTTCTGTTGAAGGTCCCGCCAAAATGTGAGACTCTGCTGACTTTCTTGAGCAGATCAGGTATCATATTTTTAAAGGAAGAAAACCGATGATAGGAGTGCAGCTCTACATTTGTTTTGTAATGGGAATACTACACTGTCGCTCATCTAGTTGGAATATTTTTTTTTACCTCAATTTATGGAATTATTTTGACAATGAATCATTCCTAATAGATCTAGATAATAGTACACATTCTCAGATTTTATTGACTAATAATTTGTGTTTATTTTGCGTGAATGCTAAAGCATGTGTATGCTACTATGCTTATCAACTAGGGGACCTACGCCCTTAAGTCATAAATGACAGTAATGAGGATTAATGCCCCACAAAAGGGCACTAATATGGCACATCGACACGGATTTGATCCTGGGGCCTCACAGTTACAATGCCATTGCTTTGCCACTGAACCACGACTGTACGCAGCGGGGGCTAGGGTAGGGGGCAGTTCCCACAAATAAAAAACCTCAAAGAAAAATGCAATCAATTTTCAATAATTCATTGAATTTTACCCCGGTCCCCAACATAACAAAATTCTCTGTACGACCATGCATGCATTATGGCTCAAGACATGGGCACACAGAAGATTTTTTCTGTTGGGGACCGGGGGGAAATTGAATGCCGAGAGGATTCTATTCCTTGAACTCTTACTTTTATTTCTCATTATATTTCAAAGCATTTATCTTGTGTTAATCACACCCAGGCGCGTACACATGGGGGGGGGGGGTTAACCCCCCCCCCTTTGGTATTTTTATGTGTGTAAACCCCCCCCCCCCCATCACTCCCCCTAAACCCCCCCCCCTTTGATTTTTTTTTTTAATTATAAAAAAAAATTATTCCCATGGCTGACCTAAAAAGGTGACCTTACCCCCCCCCCCCCCCCCCAACGGAGCCAAATGTCAAATTTTCAAATTTCGAGGCCCAAAAAAAAAAGTGTCCTGTTACCCCTGTTTTGGTATCTCAAGTGCATGTGAGTCTATATGTTGAGCCAAGATTGTCTTTTTACTTTGCTTATAAAAAATTATGAGCTTCAGAAACAACTTTATGAGGCTATTCAAAAAATGTATAAAAAGTTAAGATTATATTTCACTTGATTTAAGAACAGATTACCATATATACATGTAATACGATATTACAAATATATGCAACAGTATTTTTTGTTTAAAAAGTCCACATTTATTACAAGGATACCAACAAATTGTATTCATGCATTATTATTTATTCTGTGTTTTATTTTGTTATGATATTATGGATTTATATTCATGATTGTCATTGCATTTTGCTGTTACCAAACGAGGCATCATGGAAGACCACACTACAAATTCGTTGTGTAACCACTTTATTGCGTGGTTCAGTGTTAAGTTGTGTAAAAAAAATACACTTCTTTACATAACGAATTTGCAGTGTAAAGTTGTGTATTTTTTTATACACAACTTAAGACAACCCCTGGGTTACCACCCAATGTTGTGTAAAGTCGTTACAAAACAAATTTGCAGTGTACCGTGTATAAGTAAAAATTAATTAGATAGATTATTTATTTTAGTCAATTACTAAATTATACGTTATATATATTCAGCTCAACTTTTAAAGAAAATGTTTTGTTGTTCATTTTGATATGTTTACAATATAATTATGTCACTGAGTATATAAAGGCCTACATTGATCTCTTGCTAATTATGTTTTCTCTCAGAGCGACTTTATAAATGATGATGACATACGAATTATAATGTTTGATTTATTCTCTAAACAGAATGGAAGCTTTCATCAATATCCGACCCCGTCGATGTTTGGCGATGACTTTAAGAGCCGCCCAATGTAAACGTAATGGAATTTTCGTTTTCGGCAACGCATTGCATGATTACTGCATGCAACATTGTAAGTATAATCATTAATCTAAATGGTGGACATGTCATCGATTTCATTACAGTTGTGTTTATGGTGGGTTTTTTTTTTGGGGGGGGGGAGTGCGGGATGAACGCAAATCAGTTTTCTTCAAATAACCTGGATGTTAACTCGGGGATTTATGACCAATTTTTGTTTCTTCTTCACCGTTTATCTTGTTTATCAACAACCTTTTATGTAAATAGATGTAACCAACTGCAAACGACCCCAAATTTTTCAATTTATAATAACAAAATTAGGCCTATATAATATAGCTACTATTCGTGTTTGCTTAATTTGCTCGAAGTGTATTTAACGGCAATGTTGATTGGAAAATATGTAGTCCGATCCCACCCCCTTGCCGAAAATTCTCCCAACAGCTAGCCGGGAGGCCGTTTATAAGACACTTTTAATATAATGGCATTATTTAATACAGAAGACACCAAACTAGAAAATATGCACTGGGTATTTTGAATATTATTCAATAACAACAAAAGTAATAAGCGCACTGAATGCGGAGTGCACCAACACATGGAAATGTTTTTTCAAGGGGGGGGGGGGGGGGATTTTAAAATCGAGTCCAAAATTTCGCAACGGCTCAGGAAAATTACAAAATCGCGCCGACCAAAAAGTCGCTCAGTGGGGGTTGGGGGGGGGGGGGGGGGGGACACTTTTTTTTTGGTCGTACCTACCAAAACAAAGCGAATGGCCAATCAGAGCACTCGTTTCGTATTGGGTTTATGAATATTCATATATCACTAGGTTGACTAGTACGTAGCTATTGGACGTTCGAAAAGAAAAAAATAATATTCATTAATTAAAACCGTTAAAGATGGATGACAACGAATTATGTCGACTATGAGACTTTCTCGGATTAATCATTAAAGGTAATACAAAGTTTTGGGAATTTTTTAAAATTGGGTGGATAGTGATTCTTTACAATTTTGATGTATTTGGATGCCTATGTGGATGTATTATAAGCACTAGAAATTTAGCCCCTAAAACACTTCTGCTTTCGAGAAAAATCAAATATAAAAATTTACTGATGCTCCCGGTAAATTGTGATAAATTTCAAATAGCGCCTACGGCCGTACAATGGTAGCTGCGACTATGAAAATCTCAGAATATGTAGTTGTGATATATAATTTCCAAACGGGAGTAGCTAATCGGTCGATTTTGGTCAAGAAACATCGTTTTATAGTTTTATTAATATCTTGACCTTGAGAGGGAGCTATACAACATAAAGAGTTTATTATTTACAATTTTATTATTTTAGACTTGATTTCGACCGCGACAATGATCACTGTATATTGTAGGATTGCATATGCTTCTAATATGTTCATTTGAACCAAATTCATGACCCCATACCAAAACTTTGTATTACCTTTAATTTAGGATATAAATGAGCAAGCTATCGTAAGTCAAAGCCATATTTGTTTGTTATTTTTTATAGTTTTATTAGCCTATTGTAATATTGCAGCAAAAGTGCATTTATGAGGATGTAAAGAGTGAAAATCTCGTTGCATATGTCATTCATCGCGGTCCTGCCGAACCGAACCATTTGTTCCACTAGTACGGCATAGGCCGTACTTCAGTCTAAGAGAGTCGATGCTAATGTGTATTGACCTCTAGCACTGCATGCTTGCTGTGAGGCGGGTATTATTATACCTATACACAAATATACACACCACACATTATTGCATAGACTCTACACAGTCATGTCATCAATTGTCACTAAAGTACCAATTTTGAGTGAAATCAGTTGAGTTTTGTACAGTGGTGTTTAAAATGTTGAGAATCAAAAGCACAGCTTTTACTACACAGCCAGGATAGTAATGCACCTATGTGTGATTAATAGCTGTGTTGATTTTGTTTTGATCTGAAAATTCTGAACTCGATCAATGTAAAGTAGACCGAAAATTAAAGAGAGGAGCCGACCTTACCCGAATAAGAGGCTAACGAACAAAAAGAGACAAAAATTTATAGTCTAAATATAAGTGGACAGAAATGATTGTCTGGTATGGGGATCGATCCGGAAGTGTGTAATAAAACTGATCCCCATACATAAAGGGTAACCTTGCCGCACTTTTTGCCAGAATCCGGTGACAAGTTTGCTTTATGTTTTTCTAGACTTAAATGTAGCTTGATTTAGAAAAAAAATAATGATTGGAAAGAAAGTAGATCTGATTTTCAAATACTGTTCTATAAAATTACATCCAAAATATTTGTAAAACATCAAAATATAAGGACTTAATTTCAGGTAACCTACAAGTACATTATGTAATTCTCTTGAAGCTACTGCGCACAATGATATCGGCAATCACACAGAAACTGCATTGCGTAACCTCCCCTCACTAACCAGTACAATCAAGACTTCAGTCTCTGTGTAGAGGCAGTCAGTGGAGCCTGACATAGTCTCTTTGGAACAGTCATCAATATCAGAAACTAATTGAAGCTTACGGAAATAAAATGGGAAAATCCACCCTGATATTTTTGATGAGTAGAAATAAAAGGAGAATTTATAAAGTGACAAGTGAAATTGACAATTTTGAGGAACAACTGATAAATATTTATTAAGAAAATTATAAATATTTACATTTTGCAAAATTTTATGAAAAATGTTGGTTTTATTTAATACCGTCCTTCCTTGCATGTGCATGATTTCTAGCGGTACAATGCTCTTTGATTTTTGTTATGGTATGGTACACAACATCATTGACTCGGAGAACAATGGAATAATAATTACAATAAACACCTTGAAACTTTATTTGTTATCTAATCAAATGCTAGCTACTTTGTATATGATCGGTCCATTTTATATTTACTTTCTGTTTAATGTCTTAATTAAATGTGTTTTTTTTTCAATTAAAATTTATCAAATTGAATTGAAGTTTCCCTTCGCATTATGATAATTATGTTATATTGCGATCTTACAAAATTTCAAAATTTCAAATGGGGGGGGGGCACCTGGGGCAACATACAATTTTGGGGTTCATGCCAAGATGCCTTAGCTACATATGCTACTGATTGCACACTAACTTTTCATAAATATGTTTGATATAGATTCAAATATCACATGTTACTTATATCTCTTTTTATTTATACAGATCTCATACAACAGGCTGCCATATGATCCGGTGGTCACGTGAGTAAATCTCTCCATCATGCTTCAACTAAAACAATCAACTTGTCATTTTATTGTAAAAGGGATAATAGTCTGAAGATGATTGAATTTAATTTATTGATAGCTTCAGGAACATGAGAGAAGACTGAATTGGGGTAGAAGTGAAAAAAGTTTTACGAGCTCTCTCATTCTTTTAATTCCAATGTGGAACAATTTCTCTTAAAATAGCTCAATATCCTTGATTTTACAAGGCTTGATTAACAACTGTTAACTTGAAATCATTGTAATGCAGCTTTTAGACAGGGTCAGGGATTCTGTTAAAGGTAAAGACCAGTATTGGAAATGCCCCAATTTCAAAAAATGAAATGGAAGCTCTTTATTACCAATCATGTGAAAGAATATGTTTTGACTAATACATGATAATAAAAAAATTGCCGGGAAACCGCCTACTAATTGATATATTTGGTAAATTAGTTTATCTATTGGACTGTGAGAGATAAACGCACGTGTCGTGCACGTGTGCGTAGTCCCATATACATCTTTCTGTGTACAGTGCTTGTAACTTTACGAAGACTGGGCCAAATTTCTTATCAGTTTGATGATTCCAGAACCTTGCAGTACACATATATGCTAGATGATCAACCTTTTCTGATCGATTCCACAACGTTTCTTTCACAATGCAATCGCATGACCATAACTAGTCTTTATCTTTAATGTAGATATTGAGAGAATGTGGGTGTTTTGGGGTCAAAGCTTGTACAATATTCTATAAAAACTACATGTACATGTAATAGAAAGGTTGTGATTCATGAAATTTCATTTAATAATCATATAATCTACCTACTGGTATAACTTTACTATGACTTTTTTCTGTTTATACAGTGCGTCCCAGAAAAAACGAAACCGAGAAGTATCGATGTTTTATCATAACTTAATCACAACCATAATTAATGAATGATACATATTTGGAAAGCTTAGAGTCTCCTCTTTCAGTTGATGCTACTCAGATGATGCATATTTCACGCATGAGTGATTAAAAGCAATTTGAAGGAAGGAAGGAAACCAAAAAGACATTTGGCGGGCGGTATCTGAATTTCGAAGAAAAATTCACATTTCTAGAAAGTTGAGTTTCTGCCCTTTCATATGACACCTCAATCAGGAAAAATTAGCGAAAAATAACAAAGTTCTGTTTGTTTAAAGTAGCCCTTACATTTTCATAATTTTAACAAACGAATTCGTTTTCACTGGTTGCCTGCCGTAGCAAAAAGCAGATTTGACAAAAGACTTAACTCCGTTTTGATGACAATCATCCATGCATGAAGACTCTCGTCTACGGCTGATTGTCAACGAAACGGAGTTTGTTAATTTGTTAACTTTTTGTTAATTTCGTTTATTGATACGGCAGGCAGCCAGTGAAAACGAATTCGTTTAATAAAATTATGAAAATGCAAGCACTACTTTAAACAAACAGAACTTTGTCATTTCTGGCTCATTTTTCCTGATTGAGGTGTCATATGAAAGGGCAGAAGCTCAACTTTCTAGAAATGTGATTTTTTTCTTCGAAATTCAGATACTGCCCGCCAAATGTCTTTTTGGTTTCCTTCCTTCAAATTGCTTTTAATCACTCATGCGTGAAATATGCATCATCTGAGTAGCATTACATGAGAGAGGAGACCCTAAGCTTTCCAAATATGTATCATTCATTAATTATAGTTGTGATTAACTTATGATAGAACATCGATACTTCTCGGTTTCGTTTTTTCTGGGACGCACTGTATAAACAGAAAATGTACAGTATGTCAAAAGTATTGAATTGAAATTTGATTCCAATTATGTCTTATCTTTCACAGCGTCTGAATCGTGAGCTTTTCATCTTTGCTGAGCCAGACGTTCAATCGGACTGAGGCCCAGTAAGTAACTCAATCAATATTCTGAAAATAGATTCATGA